CAGCTGCTCTGGATGGATTCCACATCATCCTGGTATTCCTCACTTACTTCCACCCACATGCCGCTGTTTCCCAGCTCATCTTAATCATCATTGTCATTGTCAGTTTTAGCAGAAGGAAAACAAACTGTGAAGGCTTTCTTCATATTTGAGGCATTATCGCAGACAATGTAATCTAATTTATGTTTGATATTACAGTCGTCACATATCTCCTCAAATTTCTCACTTATTCTCTCTCCAGTGTGTGACCCAGTGAATCGTTCACAACTTAGGAGAACTGTCTGCAGTCTTCTTGGGCAGTCTGTCTGCTGTTGCCCCTAAGAAGCCACGCATGCTCCTATCAGTCCAGATGTCCACTGTCACAGACACATTGTCAGTCTTTTGTAGTTTAGATTTACTGATGCTAGCTCACTCAGACGTCTGGTTACGGTGCTTCGACTTACTGGGCAGTATTTCTCCTCTACCACTGACAAAATTCCTGAAGCTAGGCTTGTCAATCAAAGACAGGTAGGTTGCATGAAATGATGAGGTCCTGTGTGGATTCAGTAATGGCCTTCTGTCTGGGATGCCCCTGGCTGTATAGCTGTACACCTCTTGTCTGGCTTAAGATTGAATCAATGCTGCTCTGTCCCTCTGCAAGGGCCCCTTTCTTTGCTTTGTTGAACTCATTAAACCTGCAGATTTTTGAGGAATGTGAAAAGTGAACAAGTAAGATGCTTATCTTATAGCTTACAATTTTATGTCCAACAAAGCCCATCTGATACAAGGTTATGAACTGAAAAAATGGTACTCTGGGTATCAAGAAAATATCGCAAAATGTATAAGCAATGACTATTTGTTTTTCACTTGCAGAGCATAAAAATTAGTTCCCGTAATGTTGGGTCGTAGTTAAAGCAAGAAGCAAGCTAACGGTAGATGGTCAATGCTTGCTTAGCTAAACATGTTTACTCACCTATCAGGGGGAGTTTTCAGATGCCTGATAAGATTGGATGTTGTTGAGCGTGAATCTTTTATGGTAATACCGCATGAATTGCATTTCGCGGTTCTTTTGTTGCCGTCTTGTAGGAAAGTTTTGAACCCAAAGCTCACGACGGATGGCACAGCAGCGGCCGGTGCATTCGACATCTTTAACAACAACAACACACGCGCCGCCGCAGCCAGCTGCGCCGAAGCCAGCAATATATGTCAATGGACGTGTTACGTAGGCAGGTATCGGAGGGAAACACGTGATGAGCTCGGTATAGCGAGCTCATCACGTGTTTCCTAAAATTAAACATTGTTCACGAGTCCCAAAGCTCGAGTCAGAGTCGAGTCTCAAGTCAAGTCTGAAGTCACTGTGTGTGCGACTTAATTCGCACTTGAGTCCCCATCTCTGGTTATTAGATGTTAGTTGTTATATGAAGTGAATGCAATATGAATCAAACACAATGTAATCATAAATCATTTAAACACTGTACACATTAACATTGTCACAATGTGATATTAAAACCTGGGGACTGATAATTTCCGTCCTTTATGGATTTCTCAGGAATTATTAACGGGGACCACCAATCTACGGTCAACGACAGGACGAGAGTCTACAAACAAAATTATACAAGCTTATTTTTAATAAATTGTTTTAAGCTACAATCACAAATGTTCAATAAAATCTACAGTCGATATTACACCAAAAAAGGAACATTTAGGAGTCATTCAGGTTACCATGGAATGCAACGTACAGGGGGGACTGAGGGCTCACCGGAAGAGACGACTGCTGAGGGGGAAGGAGTCTAATGTTACGCATGTAAAAACAAAAACAAACCGACTATTGACACCGAGGTGCACTAGAGAAAAAAAATTAAGGGCACCACCACCACCGGGATCAGCCAGTCACTCCTACCAGTGGCACCAACAGCTGCTGTTCAACAAAAACAGCTGCAGCTTCACACCTCGATATGAAGGAGACAATCCAGGAAGAGACACGTCTGAAGGAGAAGCCAATGAAATTCAAATGCATCCAAGAAGACACATGTCAGGAGTTTTCAAATGACCAAAGCGGGGAAAGGACTGAATTCTCCTGCAGCCGCTTTGATAAGTCACTTTAGACTTGCTCAGAGAATTCTCTATTTAGCGAAATATTCTACTGTTGGCATTGTATTTCACTTTGTAACTGTATTCCTTATCACATTTAGTTAAATACTTGGAATAAATTTGAGGAAGTCTTTTGATTCATCGTTTCCGGGACGAGAACAAAGGAGTGAGGCCTCCTTCAAGGGCTTTCCGAACCCTTAACAGAGCAAAAATAAAGACACAAACAATGCTTCAAAAACTCAGCCTTGTATTAATCTTACGTTATCAGAAAGATCAATTTCATTCTGACAAAAAAAAAATCAACATGATTCCCTTTGTTTTAATTCTTGTTCCTCCTCGGTAGCGGGACGTCAACCTCCTTCTCTTCCCCGACTCCTGTCTAGGGGCGCACAGGCGTAACACAAAAATGTAGAACATGGTAACAGAAATGGCAGAGAAGCCTCACACACTTCCCACCAAAACGGTAGTCTGAACACAGACACTACACACAGACGGCTTGTTGTCAGGACGAAGAGAAGAGCGAATGAGAGCGCTGGGTCAGGGAGCCTTTATGTAGCCCGCTAATGGCCTGATGTTCCTCAGGTGGCGCTGATCCAGGTGAATCACCTGAGAGAATTCCCCCGCCTTCTTCTCAGCAGGGGGCGGAGTCACGTCAGGAGACGTTTAACAACTCTGTTGAGAATGAATAAGTGTATAAATGCATGTAACTGTATCTGTTCAGGAGGAGGCGCTGTTGTGTCTCATATTACATCACATGTCATTTAGCAGACGCTTTTATCCAAAGCGACTTATATTACAATTTAAACCCATGGCTCACATTTTTGCCCCAGGAGCAATTAGGGGTTAGGTGTCTTGCTCAGGGACACTTCGACATGGAACATGGGGCAGCCTGGAACCAAACCACCAACCTTGTGCTTCCCAGCACACCTTCTCTAACCCCTGCGCCACAACGACCCCGTGACATGAAGTCACGTGTGACTGATGACATCACTACCTTATAAGGGGGATGTTCACTCTCTCTCTCTCTCTCTCTGTCTGTCTCTGTACCGACTCTCACTGAGAGCAGTATGTCATTCACTGTCAATAAACAAACCACGTGATTGATGACTGAAGAGACAAACATAATTTCTCTGTGCAGGTGACAACAAGTTCTACCTGTCATCAAACTCAACAACTGGGCTGCTAATGTTTACAGGCTGAAACCCAGAGATTTTATGTAGCCTGATTAAAATGATGAGACAGGACACCAAGATGAATTCATTTTTAATGTGGGTCCTTTATTTGCCCCGACTATGACATGACAACATGGAATAGAGCCACATATAAAACAACAGTCGTGACTTCCTCCTGTTAAGCAGAGACAAAGAACATTCACATCTGTCTCATGCTGTTCAACACTTACATCATCGTTATTCTTCCAAAAGTTGAGAAAATAATGAACTCACTCGAGCGCCTGTGTGCACGGATCCATACATGTGTGATGTTGACTCACCGCAGCTTCTGTCTCCCTCTAAACAACGAATCGATATAAAAGAAGCAGAAGCGACCGCGCATGCGTGAGGACCGTTCTGTAATTCTCACAGTAGCAAAGTCATCCGGCGGCGGGCCGCGAGTTTGACTCCTATGGTACTTAATAATCCTAATCCTGTATGTGGACCATCTAGCAGTACGAACACCTCTCTGCCCCCACGTCACCCGGCTACATTTGTTTCTAGCAAAGTCCGACAGTTTTTACTCATTGTCATGTACGGTAGTCTAGTCCCTCCCCCAGCTGAAGGTGTTTAAGGCACCTAATTGAGGCCGGCCTGAGGGAGTATAAAGACCAACACCTGGCTGGAAGGAAGGAAGGAAGGGTGGAAGGAGAGAGCAGACTGGGAACATGTCCTACGTGGAGGAGCCCGGAACAAGGAAAAGCCTAAGAAGTTGATTTTTTTGTTTAAGGAACTGTCTTTCTCCTTGGGGAAACTTTTTGAGAATAAAACATTATTAGTAAACCATCTAATTTTGCCTGTTTGCTGGTCCTGCTCCCCCCCAGCTACCTCTTGTGACGTTACAGTCAGCGTGGTTACATGGATTCGAATAACTGGCTTAGTCGGACTGAAATCGAATGATCTGTTTCATGTAAACACCTTTGTCCGACTATGTGCGGTCCGACTACGATCCGACTAACACCCCTGGATAACTCGATCCGATCCAGTTGGTAGTTTGACTATTGCGGCATGTGACGGTGAATCGGATGAGGAACTGGACTGTGCGTCTTTGCGCATGCTTGAGATCCCGAAGGCGTCTTCTCTCCGTTATCAAATCAGCCAATAGCGCCATTCGCATTCGCTGTACTCCTATTAACATCATGCAAAGATAGTAGAGGGATGTAGCTTCACCTTGATCTCCTTTCGCCATCTTTCTCGTAATGTTGTTGTTGTTGTTGTTGGTTGTTGTTGGTAGTGGTGAAGCGGTCAAGCGGAAATGGCTGTTTCACAACTAGTTGTAATGAAAACAGCGCCACCTATCGTATCGGATATGACATGCTTTCGGCCAATGATTCGATTTATTCACTGCCATGTATATTGGGATAATAGCACCTCCCCCCGAAAGATAGCATAGTCCGACTAAGCAAAGATTTGAATTATACCATCATGTAATCACACTGTGTGTGAAGAAAACACTTTTTTAAAAATCTCTGAAGAAACAGAAAGCTATTGACATACAGGGTAGTCTAGTGTACTGAGGGCTATACGGTAGTTGATGTTATGCCTGTAAAGTGAGACACACAGTGATCCATTACACCAGTGCAGCTAACTAAGAAACTCTACATTTTTCATAGTGTATTTTAGCACAAGATATTTTATTATACTAGTGACTCTAATGTTTGTGATTTAAGTTTTTCAAAAGTTTGCAGACAATACGTGAAATTATGGACCAACAAATGCATCTGAGATATATGGTTTTTATTACCTTGTTATTAATACATATCTTGAAATGCAGTAAATTATTGTCTTTTGAAGAAGAAATAGTACAATAAAACGTGGTTAATGCAGAAGATGTAAAAAAAACTTTAATAAATAAGGTTTAAAGAAGCCTTTTAAAAAATGCAACAAAGAAAAAGTTAAAATCCTGTTATAAAACATGATGATATATGAACAGCGTCTTCTTTTAGAATACTTCTCTATTTAGAGCCGTGGGACTTTTATTTGTACCGATCTGATAAACACAAACCTTACGGTGTCAAAAGTATGAAGAAATTAACTACCTGAGCTGCAGGGTGTGGAGGTTTGAAGTTCCTCTTTAATTAACTGTGAGCAGTGAAGATTACATTTTCTCACTATTCTTTTTCTCCATAAACTGACATATGAAGCTTGTTATTTGTGTAAAAAGCATCTTAACAATAAAACCCAAATGTGACGACAAGAAAAGGCTCATTTTCTCTTCACTTGAGCGTAGAGATCCTCTGGGACGTCAGCAGTCCGTGTGACGTTGTCTGCTGCCTTGGACACTTTGACCTGCGCATACAAAGTGTCCTCCTGCTGTCCACCGTCCTGCTCCGAGACCGAGGACGGTCCAGATCTGAGCCTCGAGAAGTTAATCTCTCCATAGTGGACGTCTCCTTCTTCTGTTGTCACTGTCTCTCCAACAGGCTGATTCTACATAAAAGAATAAATTAAGCAAACAGGAAGTGATTGTGAAAGCCGCTTGATTCCAAATAATTACAAAACCACACTGAGTTGTTTGGTTTGTTCTCACCTGACTCTGATGTGCAGTTGGATGTAGAGACTTCAAACACCTGCAAGACAAAATGTTGGGTCTAATACACAGAGTACCAAAAAAAGACCACATTTCATTGGAGACACATTCTTTACTGATGCTACTGACCAAACAAAAACCAGGCCGATGAGCACGATGATCCCAATGATTCCTCCAAGAACTGCACCCAATAGTGGATAATTAACTCCACCTCAAGACAAGATGAAAAAAACAGGACTAAATAAAGGCACTATGGGAATGTAACAATATTGATTACTGAAGTACCTTTATTAGTCACCTTCTATAGTCAGATGGATTTCTGATGATGTTTGATCACCAAGCTGATTGGTGGCCACACAGTAATAAACTCCTCCATCAGTGACATTGAAGCTGTAAAAGTCTCCTTCAGATACTTTGATTGGTGCATCTCTGCTGGTCTTGAACCAGGTGAAGCGGCTCACAGGAGGTTTGGCTCTGCTGGAGCAGGTCAGGTTCACCCGGCTACCTGCTGACACCCGACATGATGGACAGATGGACACCGAGGTGTCCTTGGGAGCATCTGAGGAAAATGTGACATTAAAACTTCATGCAGCTGACATTGTGTGAAGACATGAATCATCGTATGCTGACAGGATCAAAGAACAAACACTCACATGAAACATTGAGAGTCTTTCTCTCCTCTGACGTCTTTACATATTTTCCTTCATTCACAGGATATCTGGCAGAACAGCTGATGATGAATCCATCATGTTCATGTGACAGAGTGATGCTCTTCTGGATTCTAGTTGTGAAGGTTCGATCTGTGTTTTCCTCCATCATGTGGTGAGAGTCTGGTTGGAGGTTCCAGGTGAGTTGAGGAGGAGAGTGTGGACAGGGAGTGGAAGCTGAGCAGCTGATAGAGACAGACTCCTTCTCCTTCACATCACCTGAGATCTCAATCCTGGGCTTTGGAGGAGAATCTGTGGTTTCAAATCAAACACAGATTGTACACTGAAAAAAGAGCAACAAGACTTGAGTCTACAGTCTGTGATAAAAGTACTCTTCTACATTTGAGAGCAATATTTTAACCTTTACTTACTTATTATCAGATGTTGGATCATGAATCATTATTTTTTTTAAATAATTTTTGATTGTTTGTTTGAGGCTTGTAGTCATTTTTCTGATGTTTCTGAATATCAGCAGATTCATCAACATTTCTCCTCTGAACTTCTCACATGGATTCAGTTAATAATTACACTACTTTATAATGAAGCAAAGATTAGAGAAAAGTCCCAAATATGAACTCATGTGTGCAGCAGGATTTTTCCCACCAATCATCTCATGATCCTTCAGATTTAAACTGTGACCTTCGATATGAGAAAAGTTTCACTAATTATTGAATATAAGTCGGAATAACTGAACTTTTTTTTTTCAAGCATTAAATGTAAAGGTGGGCGGATGTACGAGCTGCATACTCAACTGGTTATTAGTATAAGTGAACAAAAAAATCTATTTTAATCCAGAAAGCTGAAACATTTTATTCCCTGGTCAGTTTCTGTATGTATTTACATTTACAATGAAAGTTCTTTTACTTGTTTTATTCTAAATAATAAAATCATAGAATGTTTCATGAAAAACAAAAGTCTCTTACCTTTAACTGTTATTTGAAGAGGATCACAAGCAGCTGTTGCTCGAAATGCTTCGTTCTCAACCCTGAAGTAGTATTTTCCTGTGTATGTTGTCTTTAAACTGGAAAATAAAGTGGTGCAGTTTTTCTGACTCAAGTCTCCAGTAAAACTCATCGGATATGTGGAAACTGTCCCACTACTGTTGAAAATCACATTATTTGGAAACATGCCAAATTGAGAGTAGTTTTTAATCCACACTCCAAATGTTGTTGTTCTGCTGTTGATTTTCTCTCCTGATTTCACGCTGAAGTTACATGGAATTTGCAAACAAGATCCACTCAGTGCTTCCATCTCTTTTGGTGCAGTGATGAATCGACGTGTATTGTTATTACAATCAGCAGAAGCTCCTGTGAAACAAACTAATGATTAACAGTGGTGATCAAAATGTGTAAAAACACAACAATAACATGAACACAAAGAGGAATATACTTCAGCAGTAATGTTTTGCGTTGTGTTCTTTTTTTCCCTGAACAGTTTTTGTGTTGAGAGAACGGATCAGATTGAAGAACTTTTGTCGGAAGAAATGTGTAAATATGACCCGGGTTGGATTCATGGAGGGAGATCTCCGCAAACGCCGGTTTGCCGGTCGAGAGGTGCACAAAGTTGTGGAGGAAAATACGGGACAAACGTGTCCGCGATGAAAAGCAACAGTGGCGATGCACGGGGCAATAAAGTGTATGATAAATAAATAAACAAACCAACAACTTCCACACACAGAGACGTAAGACTTTTAGACACGCAAGACTTTTAGAACCATGAATTGAAGCGAGTGCGTCGACGCAACGACGCAGACGCAGAAGCAGAAGCGTGCGCAGCCTTAAGTAATAACATCTCAGATTGTTTTATGAAAAACAAAAGTCTCTTACCTTTCACTGTTATTTGTAATCCATCACATTCAGCTGTTGCTAGAAATGGCCGGTTCTCAACCCTGAAGTAGTATGTGTCTGTGTATGTTGTGTTTAAACTGGAAAATAAAGTGGTGCAGTTTTTCTGTTTTCTGAGACCACAGCTCACAAGTCTGTGGACAAGTACGACTCTGAGTGTTGGATGAGAACAGATCTATGTGAATCCTGGTAATTCATTGGTGCACCTTTGGTTAAATGCAGAAGACTGAATGGACAGAAAACTACGGTCACTTGCCTTAGTTATGAGTTATGACTTTTATGGTGAATCCTGAAAATTCCTGGACGCACACTCTCTGTTATAAACAGATAACTAGAGATGAGGTTCAGAGTAAAGGGGAGACGGTGAAAACCACCAGACTAATATCCTGCCACCATTGTGTAAATTCATGTCAGAACATTATTCTGGACGTTAGAATCAAATGCAATCATAGGTTGAATTCCTTCAAAGGGAAGTTTGTGTAAGAATCAGTTGGAACAGTTGAAATTACAACTGAGGGAAAAGGAGAAGAAGGATGCAGCTCAGCATGCAGCCCCGTCATAAAGAAAGCAAAAACGAACATTTCAGTAAAACTCATCGGATATCTGGAAACAGTCCCGCTACTGTTGAAAATCACATTATTTGGATAAAGGCCAAAGCGAGAGTCATTTTTAATCCACATTCTAAAGGTTGTTGTTGTGCTGTTGAATTCCTTTTCTGGTTTAACACTGAAGTTACATGGAATTAGCAAACAAGTGCTTCTGTCAGGGATTGCGGGGGAGGTAGGACTCAGACGCAGAGTTCAAAACAAAAGGGACTTTAATTGTCAAAAAGGTTAAAGCAAAAGGCCGAGGGGCAAAAACACACAGGAACCAGGGGAAAAACTGGAGACAGAAACTACGAACGGCCACGACGAAAGACAAGGACATGCGTGGCAAAAGACAATGACGCGACAAGTGACAACAGACACACACGGCTTAAATACACAAGGGAGGTGCAGGTGATTGGACACAGGTGGAAACTATTAGACGATCACAGGGGATGACGGTACAAGGCAGGAAGTGAAGTTACCCGGGGACACGAGTGGCAGAAAACTACAAAATATAACATGAAGTGAACCACACCGTGACAGCTTCCATCTCTTTTGGTGCAGGAATGGATAGAGCTCTATTCTTATCACAACCAGCATCAACCCAAAACTCAGAGCGGACTTACAGGAGTTATGATCCAAATGTGTGTCACAATAGCGGAGATTAAGGACGTTGGCGAGCAGAGTGTCCTGAGCACAAAAGGATGAGACCTTCACACCAAATGTCTGATTGAGGGAAGCAGCATTTTCTTGATGAGCGAATGACAAAAAACACTTTCTTAGTGTCACAAAATTGCCCAGTGAATCTGATGAGGGGATGTGATGTGTTATTTCAGCATTGTTGTTGAGCTCAACATCAGATGGCTTCAAAGTGTTGAAAAAAGCTGAGCTCCCATTATTTCAGATGTTTAACTACTGTCAAAATATTACATTGTACATCTCATGTAAGCGTAGGGCCACTAAAGAACATATGAAGAAGTGTGTTATGACCAGAAGTTGGAGAAAGAGAGATGTGTGTGTTGGTCAGAGGAGGCTGCTGCTGTGTCTGTATCTCTCGAGGAAACAGTGTTTCTTGGTTCTACTCCACACATTTCATTGACTAAACCAGGGGTGGGCAAACTTTTTGGCTTTTGAAAGACGTGCCGGGCGGTATCAGATGGATAGAGAGTGTTTATTTCAACCAATATAAATTATAAGTAAAAGCCAATAACTAAAAAGTAAAGTGAACTTACATTTTTACATTACATTGCATTTCAGTGGGAACAGTGTTGTTGGTCCCCCTTTTTTGCCAGTGCATGATAGTTTGGTGTCAACTTTGTTTTGGCAATTCTCAGGACAGATCTGAGATGTTCATCCGTTAACTGGGATCTGTGGCGTGATTTGTTGGTTTTCATCACACTGAACGTCTGCTCAACCACGTAAGTAGAGCCAAACAACACCAGCATCCTCTGTTTGCAAACTCTGCTTCGCTTAGTGAAGCATAGAATTCAGCCAGGTTAAGGGGGTTGAACTTCTCCTTTAAGACGGCGTCACATTGAAGATCAATGAGTTCCAATTCCAAGTCATCTTGGCTTTGAAGGCTCTCACTCTCTCATTTGTGTACATTTTCATGCACAAACTGATCTTTCCCTTGTAGATCACCGCCGGTAATTAGCAATGGATGTCAAGCGATATTTGAAGAGACCATCAAGTGCTCCCACTCCCACAGATGCCCGCAAAAGGCCTCAAGTACAAAGTAAGACTGAAGAAGATCAATTCACGTTCTTAAACGTTGTTTTGGTTCGCACAACATCGCATTAAGACAGGGACAAACGCTATTAATAACGTGCTTTCAAATACGATGATGCAGGCACAAGCCAGCCTTCCCGGTCCCATCTAAATAGGCCTAATAAAATGAGTAATTATCCTCACGCATATTGCTGCAGATTAGGCTAATTCATTGAAAACTTGTCAACGGATTATGTGCAAGACAGTTCGACATAGCTAAGAGAAATGCTAAGTGAAATGTTTTAGTTTAGCTATAGAATCTTCCATTTTCGCGGTCAAAGTAAAATATATTAGTTTTTTACTTTCATGATGACCGCATGTCCTGCTCTCGCAAAGAAAACGTGAGCGGGGAGCTAAGCTGTTGCTTCACTGAATAGGCCAATATTCTTAATCAATTATTTGAAGTCATGAAAGGTGTAGAGTAGCCTGTAAGCAAAATACACTGTAAACATAGAATATTTGAAAACAAGTCAGTTCTCAATGTGAAAAAAAATATGCTGTTAAGGCTATTTATGATGACGTAGGTAGTACATGAATGTTCCTTTAACTCATGTTGTCAGTGTAATTGACAGGCTGCTTAACTGGTTAACTCTTAAATTCAACATATTTTTTCAGGCAGTGAGAGGACAGGCAATGATGCAGAGAGCACAGGGAGAGGAGAAACACCAGGTCCAATAGAGAGAGGAGAACGGTTGATGAGAGAACGAAATCATGACAGTGGAGAACCAAAGTGTGGAGAAGAGGAAAGGGGAGGAAATGAAAGAAGACCAACAGAGAATGAAAAAACAGAGAAAGGGTAGACAGAGAAAGATGAAATAGAGGGAGGAGATGAAGAAACAGGTATTAAGAGAGGAGTAAGAGAAGAAACGGGGGCAGGAGAGATGGAGAGTGGAGAATCTGAATTAGAATCTGAAGTAGAGGGAGAGAAAACATAATGCAATATAGCCAGGACAGCCTTACAGAGTCGCGACGCTTTGTGTTGCGTTGAATCGCGTCGAGGTCTGTATGATCACAAAATTCAGAGTTTTACCACTACAGCACTGTGTGTGGGTGGAGGTGAGCAGCGCAGACAGCAGCAGCTGGACTCGCAGCCTGATGCGGTGCAGAAAGCACGGCACAGCTGTCCTTTACGGCACGTAGAGACCGCTGTAACGCTTCTCCGTTCCCGACTTGAGTTAAGAAACATCGATGCTGGTCTTTTGCCGTCATGAAGCTTTGGGAAACTCAAGTCGGGAACGGAGAAGTGTTACAGCGGTCGTTACTAGAATTTAGAATTCATAATACTCGGCGGGCCGGATCAAAACGCCCAACGGGCCGTAGTTTGCCCCCCCTGGACTAAACCATCTCACTGGGAACGGCAGCATCTTGGTCCAATGTTGCAGCAGCGTCTCGGCCCTACAGATTTCAGACGTGGTGTGGAGGATCCTCAAAGGGTTTAGCGCTGGTGGTAATGTAGGTCGCTCTGCATGGATCACAAGAGTAAGTGTACACTGAACAGTAGAGCTGGTCGAGGAACACACAGACTTGTATCCAGTCGTAGCAGCAGATTCCAGAGCTGTCACAAGTATCGTCTTCACTCCGCGCCGCACACAAATACCATGTCGGCCTCATTAAAGGCGCAGCGCCATTGGTAGTGTGTCCTAAATCACATCACAGGCCGTGCCTCAAACAACACCCACTCAAACAAGAAGCCATCGATGGTGTAAGACCAGTATTTGAATCCCTTTTTAAAATCAGGTATTATACCATGTGAAGATTCCGCTGTGCACGCACCAGTTTTACCAGTAAAAAAGGTTTGCAAGCAGTAAATGCCGCCACCTATCGACCAGAGCCAGAAATGGAAAATCCACATACAATCTTGTCACTAATTTCCACCACATGTCCCTCTTATCAAATAATGTTTTATGTAACAGTCACTGAATAACTCTGTGTCTCTGATGCTCTGCATTACAGGACTAAAGAACATCTCAAACCTTTATTTGTGTTATTACAATTCAAACTTCGAATACTTGACTTACTCGGGTACCCAAATCACTTCCTCTTTCATAGTTTCTACTTCCTCTTCATCTCAAATATCTATTTAAATCTTGCAAATTCTCTGTGCATTGATACAACAGGCAATGTAAAA